ACACACACACACACACACACACACACACACACACACACACACACACACACACACACACACTCACACACGCACGCACATGCATACACAAGCACAGTCCCTCGATGGATGCTTCTCCGGCCCGAGCTCTCCGGAAGCATCAAAGCAGAACAAATGTTGGCTAATTATATCCAAAATAATATGAATGTACGCTGTGACCATGAAAAATCCTCTTTTGCTCCACTCAGCAAGACACCGTGTACACAACACACACACACACACACACACACACACACAAAGGAGATCATTCCCCTGACTTCTGGTTGAGGAATGAAAGATGTAGTTACACCAAGAAGCTGTTTGATCACGTTAATATCAGTGCTAACAACGTTGGCCATCTGTTGTGCACGACGCAACCTCACCCTCCGATCCGGCACGGTCCGGTCACAAATCACCGTCATCATCATAAGCACCGTAACACTCGCGTTCAGATCAGAGTGGACTCTGGTTACATCTCAGCCGTAAGAGTGCATCCCTCACTAAAATGAAATCAGATAGCTGTGTCTGAAATAGCCTCTCTCCTTCCATAAAGAGCCTGGCTGATGAATAGCTGTCTAGTGCTTCAAGATGATGCAATCGTGTCGAAATCCATACCAGTGTGAGTTTTATTTACTCGTGAACCTGAAACTGAAGTGATTCCACTCTAAAATGCTGTCAGCGCTCTCCCTCAGGGTGCCTGCGCATGCATATGTCTCCTTTATTCCTGTTCTATTGTTGTTGTTGACGTGTTGCTGTTGCTCCGGTTTATGGCCTATTTTCATGATCACAACGCATGAAACATACAAAAACAAGGCATACATTTATAGCAGTGTAACTGTGTATTATTGGTGACTATTGATGGAGCACTTTAATAGGAACACCTGCACACCTGATCATTCATGCATTTATCCAGTCAGCCAATCATGTGGTATTAAGCACAAGGCAAAAATCATGCGGATACAGGTCAAGAGATTCCGTTAACGTTTACATCAAACACCAGAATGGGCAGGAAATGTGATTTCAGTGGTTGTTGGTTTTCAGAAACTGCTGTTCACCTCAGAATTTCACACGCAACCGTTTCTAGAGTTTACACAGAATTGTGCGAAAAAACCAAAAGCATCCAGTGAGCAGCAGTTTTGCAGGCAGAAACGCCTTGTTGATGAGAGAGGTCAGAGGATACTGGCCAAACTGGTACAAGCTGACAAGAAGGCTACAGTAACTCAAATAACAACTCTTAACAACCGTGGTGAGCAGAAAAGCATGTCAGTGGGCACTGGGTCACCTTGGGAAAAGACCAGCTTAATGTCATGCACATTCAGATCATCACTTTTTATTACCTAACAAGCCAGCTGATAAAACTTACAGCAAATGTGTTTTCTGTGTGTTTTCTCTTAAACATGTTCTAGTGTTCATGTTTAGTGAGTGTGATGTGTTTATTCTTATTTGTTACAGATAAAATAATTCAATCTGCTGTATTTAGTCAGTATTTGGGTGAAGTAAGCTATTTACATTGTAGTTGGGTGACATAAATAATGTACAATCACAAAACTGGAGATTAACAGCTTTACTTGAAGTCAGGAAAATCCTGTTTTGGCATTTTTTTATATTGTGTGCTGACAGCTGTTTGTGCACACAACTTAATGAAACTACAAGATACTAAATCGAGGTCATGAAATTGTAATGAGTATGGGGGTTGTAGGCTATTTTAAAAAGCATTTAATTCACTAGAATTCATTCTCCTCTAAATAAAACATGGTTTGAAGGATAAGCTGACCGAACACTCATTTACTACGCTTACAGCTCACATTAATTCATAAAGTTATGCATAAAAAATTGGGTTCTCAAGACAAACATCTCAGAATACGATGCTCTCTCCTCAGATATCCTCCATGCAGCAAAAAAGCCTTTTCGAATTCCAAAGGGCTATTTATTAATAGTGTCATATTTATGTATTTAATATTGGCCTCAAACAGCATTCAGCAATTTTTTGGAGTGTATGTGCAGCCCAAAATATAAATTTCATAGCGACATATTGTGGTTACAGCAAACTGTCAAACAGTAGTGCTGGACTTAATGCTGCTACTCACTCGAGCCAAGATTGCTCAAGAAAAATGGGCTTAAGTTCATGGACAGAATCAGGTATATCATCCAGAGACACGCCTCTGTTTTAGGCAAACTCCACCTACATACATAACTCGCATGTAAATTATAGGTCTGTAGTTATGTCTGAATTGTGAATGCTGATTTGCACAATTTCAGTATTATGTAAATCCTCACTACATGAGCTTAACTCAATTTTGAATATGGCCCAATAAGTAGCAAAGCGGGTTCAAAAACCACATTGTAAAAACCAGTTGTTATGAAGCTCCACCCACATCAGCACAAGCACT